AGGAATCCTGTAATTCAAACCTTCATACTACTGATGATGACATGTTATATTATTCCTGTGTCTGTGTGGGTGTTCTGGCTCTTTGTACATCATTTAATCTATGCCGGAAAGCAGTGACCCCGTGCTGCCTGTCAGCAAGACTGTATCAGAAACAGACTGAGAATACTTTTCATTTATATGGTAATCCATGTTAAATCAGTTGGCCTTCTAAACCATATATCGGGGGTTTATTTCATACTAGAACTGCTGAAACTATTCCAAATAATTCATAGGAATGCACAATTTAAACATACTTAAAAAATATGCTATACTGTTTGATACAGAAATATAACCTTTTCTGGTAAAAATGATCTATGGCAAAAAGTACAGTTTGTGAATTCAGTTTTTTTTGCTACCTGTTAGATCATGATGTTAACTTTCCAGCAGATCTTTCACAATCCAGTTATGGTTTTAAGATACTACAATGGATTTTAAGAATTCTGCATGTGATCTGCATTTCACAGGAGAATTTCATCTGTGTTGATGAGCATTCTGCCGCAACGAGAGGAGAGGGAAGAGTTTGTCTTTTCACCAACTGAGCATGATGCAGTTCAAATCAGTACATGTGATAAAAGAGACACATTCAGGTTATTTGCAAGATACAATGGTACCATAATAGTAAAAGGTCATGCATGTAATTGAATACTTAATCATATAAAGGGGGAAATAAAGTGGTACACACCTTTCTGTGTTGCTCGGGAAGCCTGCTGTAAAAAGTGAGCATACATGCTGGGGACAGTGCAACAAGTGGACACTCCTCTCTGTTGTCTGACTCAGTTTCCACTTTGCATTCACAGTGTGTCAGTTATGTAAATCCCAGCAGCTTTACACCCTTGATAGTACAACCTCTAACCACTCTAGGCAAGTGTGATTAGTCCTTATCATACATTTTGTGTGTACTGTATCATCCTCACAGCGCTCAAACGTTGTGAAAATGAACTGGGACAGTGCCTGGAATCAAAGCACTTTCTAGTTTCTACACATTTTGTCTGTTATATTATGCAGTGGAAATCATTTTTAACCGGCACAAAGCAGCTTCTCTCTTCTGCTGAAGTTTTCTTGAGCAAACCGGTGAATGTCTTCCAGCTCTGAGGCTGCTGCTGCTGCTATAAAAGTTTGACCTCTGACCTCCCTGAAGGGGGTCTAAGTGGAAAGACAATTTTCCCACTGGGACCAATGATGTGTCAAATTATAACAATCATCACTGTACTTGACATTTCTACCAAATGCGTTAACATCACTTAAAAAGTTCAGGTTAAATGAGAATCTGATGCTTGTCATCCTGCTGTTTGATAAAGCCCTCCGATTTGTTTTCAACAAATAAGATAAATTAATGGCATGTACATCAACAGAGTGGGAAATTTTTTCAAACTCAGGACAGCTTAAAAATAATGTGGGATAATGCAAGTAAATGCATTACGATTAGCATTAAACAATGTAGTTGTTTTACTTTCCAAAAAGGAAAAATGCATTTTGGAGATCGTTTTTTTAACGTGACAACATTAATACATCGTTTGATTTCGAAGTGACTGTCAAGTGTTATCATTATTATCATGTGATGTTATTTTTTCAAATAATCGATTAATCAAATGTAGCCTACCTCATAGCATCAATGAATGCACACACAAACAGGTATCCCATTGTAAGATCTCAGATTTTAAGAATACATTTTAAATTGGCCAAGGATATCAAGGGAACACTTCATTTAAACCCAGCGCAATATACCAATTGATTAGAAGAAGAAAAAAAATGAATGCACGTTTTTGTTAATTACGTGAACATTATAACCGTATGGTCTTACACAATTCACAATGTTACAATATATAATCATATAGCCTTCGTGTGGCTTTACTTCCTTCTTAATTTGTTTCCCTGTTAATGGTTAAACGAAACTTAAATATAGTTCAGTTCAAACACATGCTGCAACATAACAAAAATAAAGAGGGAAAAGGCTGTGATAAATACGATGTACGTCATTGCTCATTTTGTATTGATTAATTTTAGCAAGTTATTCGCAACTAACTTTAACCTGCCTTACCTGACACACAAAATAACCCTGGAAGAATGTCGTTCGTTACTAATTGATACGATAAAACAATGCAACATTTTTTTAGAAACAATCCACAGCAGCAGGTTTCAAATAATAGTTTGTTTTATAAAAATCCTCCGTATTATTTCATGTTGTGCAATTACCGAATTTAAATCAATAACAATTTTTTTTTTAAACGATGTATTCACAAAATAACTTCAAAAATGTATATCAATATGCATTGGGTGCTAGTGAATTCACGTTGATCTTATTATCATGACAATAATAATCCCCTTATTTGTTTAGACCTGAAATAAAACAGACATCAGGGAAAAGTGAATGGATTTGATTTACACAATCTCTGCAGATTGTGTCATTATTTTGTTTCCCAATTTCTACAAGATTGTTTTTCTAAAGTTGTTAAACACTTAATTTCCTCAACATCCTCACCCAAAGGTAAAGGATTACAAAAAAAAAACCTGATTATTATTTACGAGAAATCAGGACTAGTTCACACCTGTCTGTCTGTTTATCCAGATCCCTTTTTCCAAAAGCCATGCTGGCAGAACAACATCGGCTTTTATAACTAGCTCGCCTTATTAGGCCTTGTTTCAATGCTTGCTTATTTTCCTAACATCTTTTGCCCAACAAACATTTACTAGCCTCCCTCTTCGAGGGCACACATGGCGCACTCATCACTATGCCAGTTTAAGTTCACATTTGAAGCCTTTTGGGAGAGAGAAAATACGAGAAGACGAAAATCACAGCGTTATTGGGGTTGGAGAGTTGGTTTGGGGAGAGAGCAACTATTCCGTGTTTTGTCTCCTTACAAACCGCTGTAATAGGCTTGTTTTGAGCAGACCCATGTGCACTCAAGTCCTCGTTAATTATAACTTGTGGGCTTTAAGCTGCATGTGTAATTGACCTCCATGCAGCAGCAGCTGTACCCAACAGGAGCGACTGATCCCTCGCCTTTGCAGACAGGAGGGAGACACTTCACACACTCTTTGTGTACGCTTCTCCTTTTTACACTCCCATTACAGACGCTCTGGCTCCTATCAGATAATCCCTGCACCATAATATTCTTTTGCCGTTTACGTACGCTTTAAGAATACAAAAATATACCTGGAAGCCAATAAACATCTAATGAGCTTTATGCTATACAATGTCTGAAGCCCTCGTTAGTGTGATTTAAAAAAAAAGGAATTATGCATCATTTCTATTTTCCCCAAAACAATCCGATAATATCATCAAAGTATAGGCTACATCAGCTGTTGGGTAAATAATGCTATGTTAAGGTTACAATTATGGCATAATTCATTTTAAAAAACGTTTTCATAATAGTAACATGTTTTGCATCGTTCTTTAATGTGCACCAAAGCAAATTCCTCCCATGTGTAAACCTACTTGGTAGTAAAAACCGATTCTGATAAAACATGCCATAATAACTTTAATATGGGACAATGAGGTGTATAAAAATACCAACATCGAGAGCACTCTCGCAGCACCAGAACATGTAGCCTATATAATAGGGAAATACTGTAATGAAAGTAAGAACAGAATAAAAAATGTTGTTTTAGGTTTATTCTCGGGCAGCAGAGTAATGGGGGGAGCTGAAGGTGTTGCACGACTGAAGCTGTTCAAACAAAGTGTCTTCTTTCAGCGCCCGTTTCCAGTTCTGTGTTTTCTTTTTTTCTCTCTGCGCCAAACACTACGGCACTTTTGTTCTCCTCAGCCGAGCGCGGAGAGATAAGGTGTCATCACTTCAACATCAAGGTTCCCCAGTTGGAAAAGCACGTACAAATTTCGCCCAGCTTTGCCCATAATGGCCACATGCCACAGTCTCTTGACTCGTGTTGTTTTAACAAAGCAGCATATTAAGACCCTCTTCAGTTTTGTCATTTTAACATCGGCAATGATGATTTATCTGAACTTTGACCTTCAGTTCGACGATCATCACTTTAAAAAACACGGTGAATATAAAAAATTATGCAATTATAATTAACGTTTGTATTTTTAACTATCTCATATTATAAATCGGTTTTAATCATATAATATAAAATCCCATAAAAAAGGCCATACTGCAAGTTTAGAACCGATTTTACCTGCAGAAGCCGAGGGCACAAGCTTTAAAATGTCTTGAAATGGGGAGAAATTTTTTCCTCCGCAGCATTTATGATAAAATGGTAGATAATCCCGGGATATCGACCCGTGCAAACCTGCAGACTGCTCACACATAGAGGACAATAGCAGTTTCTTAAAGCACTGAGGCTAAGAGCTCTTGATTTTTAGGTAGGCCTACTGCTCTCTAATTTCATTTTCCCCCTAATATTCACTGGTTGATCAGTGCCTTCAAAAGGCCAGAGGACATAGGGAAGCATGGACTTGCTTAGAACCAAACAATACCAGTTTTTTTCCATTTCTGCTACCAAGTGAGATTCGTGAAAACGGAATGTAACCTACACATTAGAACATCCTCAATAACCAATGCAAAGCAATTATAAAAAATAAAACACACACATTCCACAAACCCTATGACTGAGTAAAGATTGATATTTGCCTGCAGCTGTTCCAGTGTGGGAATATTTTTGTTTAAATATTCCTAAAATGTCACCCAGCTTGAATGGTTTGAACATTGAAAACAAAGGAGAGAAACCTCTGCAAACATGCCAGGAGTCATTCTGAATCAAAGAAATCCTCGAGTTTTATTCCATGTATTTCTTTTTCTTTTATTGTAAAGGGTATGAAACTATGGTGAATCGTTTTATGTTTCATCATTTATCGCAAAGTTTACATGCAGTCTCTTTCCAAATGAAAATGCAAATGATAGTAATAATATCAAGAGATATAGGTAGGATATTTCCTCTTATCACGGCTCTTATATAAGACACTTGAGAATATTATACCCCATCAACCCCCCCACCCCTTTCTCTTGGAAAACCCCGTGTAAACAAAAAGGCGATTGGGTAGCCTATGCCTTTAACTCGGTGCCTTCAGAGTCTGCTGATAAATCTAAACCCCTAAAATAACAACGGTAATAGTAACAAGAATTAAGACATTTTATTGTTATTGTTTTCAACAATATAGCATGTTACGTACATTCCGGTAAAATACTTTTTTTCTATTTTTTTGTTTTTTGTTTTTTACCTAAAACGACCTAGAACCACCTCACCTTTTGTTTGCACCAGCACTGCAAACATGATCCGTTTAACAAGTCATCATCTCTATTTATCTTTAGAATTACATTTCCCTTAAACGAATTTAAGAGAAAAATAATTGTACCTGCATTAAGCACATTTCCGAATTGTCTTAAGTGCTCTGCCTTAACACTTGTTTCTAAAAAAACAAAACAAGTGGAACTTTGTTTTAGAGATAGGTGCACCCTCAGGCAGATTTCCCCACTTGTTTAAAAGTTTGAATATGGGATAAATGATTTGTTGCAGCGGCTGTTTTCTCGCAGTGTTCCAGTCCGTCTGCTTTGCACTTTGCCACAAGTGCTCGAAGTTTGCCTCACTCCAACTCGTAAATAACTTTTCCAAAAAATGGTTGCTCTTTGTCCCGCTTCTGTGCCAGTTTTTTAAGAGCCAAGGTCCACTAGATTAGAAGACATAGGGTTCAGTATGGAGTCGTGGTGCATTGAGTGGTGATGGTGCACCGAGTCTACACCGCTGAGAACCGGGATGGCGCTGGGTCCAGGCGGGGGCGCAAGGCCGTGCAGGGACTGTAAACCGGAGCCGAGGAGCAGAGCCGGGCTGTGGGACGTGTGATCCGGGGTCCCCATGGGTGTTTTATCGTCGTCCGAGCTCCCCAGGAGAGATTTATTTCCATTCATGGAAGAACTCAATGGGTTGTGACTATTGCTGTTGGAGTTCTCGTTGTTTTCCCTGACAAAACAAAATCACACATTATTGTGGTCCAAGTGCAACCAAATTCTTGTAAAGATATTATATCAAGCTGTGACTTATTTTTAAACTAGCTACAGTGTTTTCACAGAATATAAACTAGAGTAGCATACTTTAATATGCAAATGTAATATCTGTAAATAAATATTTTTAACGTTGAGAAAACAAAATAAACTTTATTCTGAAATAACTAACAAATATGGACCTATACAAACACACACAGCAACACACACACACACACAGCAACACACACACACACACACACACACACACACACACACACACACACACACACACACACAATGCTAATGTTGTATATTAGGCCAAGCTATATTTACTAAAGCCATAATAGCATCATTAATATGTGATCAAACGCTTAATCTAATGATTTATTAAAGCATCAATCAGCACATGTGCCAGGATGCAGGCAATAAGTAAGTAATTGAAATAATTAGAGGCCTTGGCTCATTTCACTACAGCACTGCAGAAAGTTAAATGGCTGCATTATAGAGGAGTGACTGCAGACAATACATCAGACTATTGAACCATTAAGCGTCTTTGTTTAAGGCAAATTAACTTAACCAGAGTGACCTGTGGGTAAACACGCCTATCAAAGTAGGCTAGTTCTTTGGTACGTCTAAATAATGGACAGCTCTAAATATTGCTGAACGTGTGCTTGTTGCCTATGGCGTATTCATGTGTTCGCAGTGGTGACTAAGGCTTTCTCAGTGGGAAGACATGATTTACGTGGAGCTTTCAGCCCGAATTAGTGGCCACAGGGCGAAAGAAGACACCGACCAAGTGAACACCTGACTAAAACCTCTCCACACGATGTAATTTAAAAACGTTGAAATGTACAAACGACTCCTAATGAAATGTCAACCTGGCTGGTGTGGAGTCTACACAGCGTGCCACATCAATTAAACCGCAAACAACTTTTAAACGTGTTCTGGGATGTTTTCTTATATATCTGTGTCCAATCCAGTGGGCTATATGGAGGTTTCAAACTTTTTTTTTTCTCTGATCCTTACGTGAAAGTCTAATTTAATGTTATAATAAGTGTGATCAAAACATAAAAGTGGGGTAAATGCAACTTTTATAACCTTGTAATTGACGTGACAAAAACTCTTTCCTTTTCTGCCTTTCAACTTTTACGCACGGCCAGCATAATTATCACAAACATGAAAAACAACAGTACAGGACGTGAGTTACCTGAACACAAAGTAAGGAAAAGTCACTGCTTTTAATATAATTGTCCTAAAGAAACAGATGCGTGCAGAAAACTAAATTTTATTAGGTAAGAAGTTGAACCAATATATGAACATTTGCGCAATGCAATACATTGCCAGATGTAGGTCAAATCATATAGGAGGATCAGAAAGCTGTTTTTGGCCTGGTTAAAATAGGTTTTCTGTCTTTTTTTAATTAATGTCACAAGCATGACAAACCACAAGATTCCCCTTTTAGCACTCTTACCTTTCCTTCGCCTCCGCTGCTCGGTCTCGCTGCCGTCGGTTTTTGAACCAGTTGCTGACCTGCGTGGTGGTGAGTCCCGTGCCCTCGGCCAGCTCTCTTTTCTCCCGCGGGGATGGGTAAGGATTGTGGGTGTACCACTCCCGCAGGACGCTCCTGCTCTTCTCCTTGAAGCAGTAGCTTGTCTCTTCTCCGTCCCAGATGGAGCGAGGCAGGGGGAACTTTCTCCGGACGCGGTACTTCCCCACGGCGCCGAGCGGACGGCCTCTCAGCTTCTCCGCCTCGATGTAGTGCGCTTTGAGCCACAGCTGCTGCAGCTTCGGGTGGTTGTGCGGAGAAAACTGGTGGCTCTCGAGGATTTTGTAGAGCTCTCGGAAGTTCCCCCGGTGGAAAGCGACCACGGCTTTCGCTTTGAGGACGCTCTCATTTTTGTGGAGGTGCTCACACGCCGGGAGGGACCAGAGGAAGCGCCCTAGCCGCTCGATGTTCCCCCCTTGTTGGAGAACTTCGCAAACACACGCAACTTGCTCCTGCGTAAAACCAAACGTCGGAAGCATGGACATGGCGACAACGTAAACCAATACAGATTATATTGTGCCTTACTTCCACGTCTCCCCTCTCAGTCTCACATTAAATCAAAACGCATTAAGTCCATAAGCGACAAAAGGTCCCCAAAAGAGCAACCTAAAACTTAAAACAGCCCAAGGTTAGGTAGTAATATCCAACTGCGTATGGTGGCATAAACTCAAGTCCATTCAGCCGTGCAAAACCCCAGGCGACAAATCCTCATATAGTTGGTGAGAAAGAGAGAAAGTTGCTACTCCTTCCACCGTCCTCCTCCACCTTTTCTATGCCGTTTCAACATAACCTACTCCCGGAGACCGGGCTCGCTGGCTCGTTTTAATAATATTATTCTAAGCTGGCAAGACAAGCGATTATATGAAATCTGATTGGTCGGTTATCTGACCCGGGGATGGCGAGGATAAGACAATAGCCTTCGTCAAATTATTTGCCATGGTTACGCTGTCACTCAAAGTAACCTGATATGCTTTGAGGTGGCTCCCTGGCAAAGTCAACACGATTGTTCCCTTCACGACCAGCCCGCCTACCAATAGAAATATTGCTCAGATTTTTCGTCTTAAAACACTTTTTTTTCTTTCTCTTCACTTTGACAGACACCTCGGGCAGCCAAAGAGCGCGGAGCTGGGGGAGAGGGGGTGTGGAGAGGGAGAGAGGTCCCGCAGCTGGGGGAAGGATGGCGCCAGAGCGCGCAGTCAGCTGCAGTTTGTCTTCCAGCCTCCAGCGGCTCTCACAAATCAATCAACGTTTCCAACACCTGGAACTTTAAAGTCAGTCACTTTATAATTTCATACACGACAAATGACTGTCAGCTGTCTAGCGATAACAGGTAAATTAAGGAAAAGTTCCCCCTAAAATACCTGACCAACTTATGGCAAGCAATACATAATTACAATTTGACTAAATATGTCAGAGAGGAGAGGTTTACGTTTTCTCACCCCCAAACAAGTTAGATACATTTGTTTTCAGCTCACATGAAGAAGTAAACATTGTTATAGTCATTTGGAACAAGGAATTTGGGTAAAGTGGGTTTACAGGTGGCTTACGTTAGATACATGGTGAACATAACTGCATTTAGAAACATTTTCTATGATTTGTTTATGTTTTAAATAATAATATCATAAGAAACATAATGTTAGACGTTTGAACATGTATTATTTTAGTAAGAAATATGGAAAATATGTGCTAACATTTCATGCAAAGACTGTGCGTTAGGATATTCCCAAAGGAAATTAAGTCTGTCAGTTCGTTTGTATTAACTTTATAACTAATTTAACTTTTCTATTTTTCTAATCAAATACGGAATAAATATAGTGTTGTGTATCTCTCTGATCCTAAAGCGATATTATATATTTGTAAGAAGACATGTTGCTCCATAATTAAGTAAAGTAGGACCGTGCTACTGTTTATTATTTACATCTAAATGTGGGGTGAGCCAGTGAGGGCTGAGACAATGTGAAGGTGTGCAGCATCTCGCGGTGCTGCAGAGAGGGAGAGCAGAGAGGGAGAGAGGGAGAGTGTGTCGGGGAACAGTGGAGAGGAAACCAAGCAGCAGCAGCACCGGTGAGCCAAACAATTCAATCTGTATTTAAGTCGTCTGGCTAACACGGTTCAGTGCAACAGTGCAGGAAGATGGAAGTCAGATATCATCAGAGCTGGGAGGAGAACTCAGATAACTAATAGTAGAAGTAGCCTAATACTCTGTTACAAATTAAAAGTCCTGCATTCAAATGTTACTCAAGTAAAAGTACAAAAGTATTAGCATCAAAATATACTTAAAGTACCAAATGTAAAAGTACGTATTATGCAGATTGGCCTATTCCAGAATAATATATATTTTGATTATAATTATTGGTGCATTAAAGTGTTATCAAAGCTAGTAAAGGTGCAGCTAGTTTTAATTACTTTGTATACTGCAGGGTAGCTTGTTAATTTACTCCAGGTGTAACTAAAGTCTTATTTAAGTGTTGTTAATATTTTCACATTGTTAATCCAATTGTCCAAAGTAACTAAAGGTATTAAATAAATGTATTGGAGTAAAATAACACAATTCACCTCTGAATTGTAGAGGTAGCAAAGTAGCAACACATTGAAAGTACAAGTCTCTCAGAATTGTACTTGAGTAAATGTACTTAGTTACTTCACACCACTGTATTTGAGTCGTCTGGCTAACACGGTTCGATGCAGTAGGCTATAGTGGAAGATGGAAGTCAGATATCATAATCACAGCAGGATTAGGAGATAGGGTTTGAAGAGCAGAGGAATAATTTCAATGTGATGATTAAGATAACATGATGCGGGGAAAAGGCGAAGGTATAGGTTTTATAATTCAGAGGAGAAAATGATACTTGTTGATGAAAAATGACGAGTTTGTTGTGGCTCGATGCAAATCCTCAAAATTGGCAGCAGCATAATGAAAACAGTGTCATATGTTTTATGTTGGTGTTGTCAGGTGTATGGGGACGTGTGTCACGCGGACGGGCATGTGTGTTATTGACTGTTGGGCCACAGATTGACCAGTTGGTAGATTTCTATCGCTTCACCATGGGACCTCTTCATTAGAGATACGATTGTCAGCTACACCCACACAAAGTATCACATCACTCGAGACTGCTGCCTCCAACTACACACACAGACACACGGACGCGTACACTAACCATACAAACACACACACACACACACACACACACACACACACACACACACACACACACACACACACACACACACACGCGCACGCGCGCACGCGCACGCGCACACACGCACACACACACACACACACACACACACACACACACAAACACACCACGCTAAGGTAGGCAGTGTGAAAAATAAAAATAAAGTAAATATTACAATGCTACTAAGAATACGAATAATAACATACATGTGAAAATAACGGTAATACTTTACGGTAAGGGAACATGAATCATCATGAATTCATGCATGACTTAATGCATGAAAAAGCATGAATGAATTCATAGTAGGCTACTCATGTAGTACTTCATGAACTATCAGTAATGTACAGGTATGGTATCTCATGCATGACTTAATGCAGGAACATCATTTGTATTATTCATATTTTCATTATTGTTATTCTTTATTATTATGATTATGATTATAATGCATGGTATTTAATATTTGAAAGGCGTAATTTGATATATGTTCAGCCCTCTATTCTATAAAGCCTCTATAAATATACAATTAAAAAGAAAATATTTTCACGTAAATATCAGCAGAATATTTAAAATCATATACGTTTTCCGGGTTTTTAGATTAAATGTAGGCACCTTTTATTCCGATGGGCTCTATACCATCTGAGTCGGACGGCTGGAAATGAGTTATTAGCGTAATTATGAAGTTAGTTTATCACCAGAGATGAGGAGTCCGTAAGAGGAGCCTGATCCCTGTTTCCGTGTTGTGTTCCCTCTTTGTTTAATACATTGACTTGGGTTCCGCCTGCAGCGCAGTTCAGAGAGTATTACGGCATTAAACTGACTGATGGTAATCGTCAGGGGACCGGGGGCTCCACTGCAATGGATAGCGAGGAAAACAAGGAAGCGATTTATACATACAATGCATACACGAAACAAATATACATCTTCATTAATTATGAATGAGTTGTATTCCCTAATTTAATAAAATATAATAATAATCCACACAAATACAGCGTCATAAATCAGAATGTATCAGACGCGACATTAAATCACTTGCCTTTGCTCTGTTGACTTTGATTCAGTCAGCTGATGAAAATCGGAAAAACCGACGAGTGAAAATGAGCGCCTGCTGCCTATAAACACTGTTTGACAGACGTGACTGTTAAAACCGATCTCAGGTCAAACTTATCATCTCCATCCATCTTACACACACACACTGAAAGGCCTAGTAAGTGAGCCCAAAACACACACACACTCACCCTGGTGAAAGAGGTGCTGCTACACTCACAGTGGTCACTTTATTTCCCACTGAGGGTGTATCGTCTCTTTTTATATCCAAGGACGTTCAGATGTGCGTTTTAAGGCCTAATAATTTACCAGGCTGTTTAGAGAAACAGGAATCTAAATATACATAGGCATACTACTGTATTTAATTTAATTTTTCTAATTTTGTCCAAGCTTTGACCGTTGCCCTATTATGTTGCCTCCCTGTGCCATGTGTCCCTGTGTCAGCAGTGGTTGCATAAAGGCCTATAGCTCATCCCTAGCTTACTCTGTCCTTAGTCATTTGGACTATTATGGGGCATGATGAGGGCAGATGTAACCAAAATAGGGTCTGCTTGTAAGTGCTCCATCGGGGTCTTATTAATGCTATTCGGATGAGATAATACACTGTATGAGAATAACAGGCAGCTACACTGATACACTGAAAAGTTGACTTGAATTAAATGTATTTTTTTTTCATTTAAATGTAATATTATTTCTTTCAACTAACCTGATACAGTTATGTGGAATCTGTTGAGCTAATACATTTCATTAAAGTTTCATTTTTTTCAGTGTGTCATCCCACCTTGCTCTATGAGAGACATTCAGATATGGCAACAATAAGTCAGAATAGAGTTAAAATTGATTCAATATTGGGATTTTTAAAAATCTTTGACATGACAACGTTTGAAAACTTGAAGAAACTCATCCTGTTGACATGTCTCATTCAACACCTGCTCACTTTGTCTTTGTTTTTTTCTCTCCTATAAGCTCTTAATTCTGCATCTGATTGGGGAGCAACAAGTCACTTCCTCAGAAAGGATATATGAGAGCAAATACAAAAATAAAGTAGTCAATTACAATGGGAATACAAATACAAATCCTCTTGGTTGCACTCATGCTAAGAACCTCCGGGTGTGCACAGTGCCGGGGTGAGTCCCCTGACTGGCCCGTGACAGTGTTTGTAAACCACTTGTTTCCACGGATCAGTTTGATCAGAGGGCTCTGGCTCTCAAACGGTAATTATTACGGCCGCTGATGAATGGAGATCGCGTTTCCCCTAATAGCCAACCCCCTATTTTCACAACCTCCCACCGCTCACCTCGGCCGCTCTCCACCACGACCTGCACTAATTGAGCTGATTATTGCAAGATGTGTGTTTTGGTGTGTGTTGCAAAGCCTATGTGTTGTGGTTGGGGTACAAGGGAGGGGACGTGGCTTTTTATTCTACAGGACTGACCTGAGACGAGCGCAACAAGGGGTTGATGAGTAACATTCTTTCAGACAGACATCCCAATGCTGGGCATGAGAGAGAGAAATTATTAAAGCCAGAGCCTCTGTGTCTATACCGGTTAAAGGGATATGAATGAGGGCCTATCCAATAATTGGTTGTTTACATCTATCTTGTTACCCCAGAGGCCGGGGCTATCCTATAGAGCAAGG